AAAGGAAAAAATGGAACCTACACCCTGTGGGGAGTGGAAGAAACCCTGTGTGTGTGATGCCCTGAGTGGATGTGTGTTGTGTACATGGGCACAGCTGTGTATGTACTCAATGAATGTCTTCTACAGGGGTGGCGGACCTTGCCCAGATGAGGTTTAGAGGAATGGTGAAACCTTCTGTTCCAAGTGGGAAAGTTAGTGTGTGCAGAAAATGTCCACTATAGCGTTCTCCCAGCACCCAATGTTTATAGGCTGAAGACTGCTTCCCTACAGAGACTGCACGTAACAAGAATAGCCAAACCTGCCTTCTTGTTCAGCTGTGTATAATGCTACCTTGTGTATGTGTATGTAACCAAGGTGTAATATACGTCTTGGTTCAGCTGTATACAATAATCCCACTGTCATGGTTTGACACAGCCCTCACCCCTGACCCCCTGAATAGCTGTAGCCATTTTTTTCCATGCCTGCCAGCTATTTCATATTGTTGCTGTAACAGGCCTGCCAGTCATTGACACAGAGAAGTGACTTGGCTCAAGGACATGCTGGCCATATATCCTGTTTTGTTCTGTATGTTCTGTATGAGGTTTGCTAATCTTAAGAAATTCCACAAAGCTTTATGTAGGACCCATCAAATCAAAGGTCAATGTGAACTGTTATGTCTAAAATAGCTTGATTCAGAGCTGACCACCAGGCAGCCCTTCCTGCACCTGCGTGTGAGCTCACTGTGTTTTTGTGGCTGACACTGAAGAATGCTATGAATAAGCCAAAAAGTTATGATTATAATACTCATGCTATGCTATCCCAATGTTCTGAAATTTCCCTGTTCACCACCCATACACCACCCGGCACCTTACTCAGGACCAATCAGCTTAAAGGTTAGCTGGTAATATTTTGCTTATGAAACCAACTGTTCCCCTCCTTGCCCTTTAAACTTTTGAACCTAGTTTTTCCTATAAAAAGTCTACTCTGAGAGCACACTAGTGCCACAATTAGGTTTTTCCTTCTTGTGGACCTGGACATCCAGTATTACAGTATGCATTCAATAAACTAACTATTCTTGGTTAGCTGAGATTGGTGTATGTATGGTTTGTGTGACAATTTCCTGGACCCCAACACCCACCCACCTCTATGCTCAGAGAACCTAAACTAGCAGCTTTTATACATCTGTTGTTCCTCCATCTCCTCACTGCCCCAGTCAGGTCAAGTCCATGGAGCCATGCAAGGACACAGCATGGCCTTAGTAGGGACAGAATGACATAGTTCCTGCCCCTGGGACAGGGCCAGAGGGCGTGGGCCTCCATGAGTGCCATGGCTGCTGTGGGCATAAGTTTTGTTTGTATAATAATGCACATATTTTCATATTCCTCTGAGGAACATCCTCCCTGTTAACGTTAATGACTCCATGATAATCAGAGACAGCAGGAGTCCAGGAGGCAAAGGTGTGGCTAATGTCTCAGAGAAATGGTAAATGCTGGGACCTTCAGGTCAGCCCTTAAGGCTGAGGGAAAGAACTCTAAAAACATAAGTTTGTAAATACATAATTTCTCAACTATGAAAAATATAAAGATGCAATATGAATTGTGTAAGGGTTTTCACAGATCTAAAGGGACAGAGGCAGCTGCCCTATGAGACAACTTGTTAGAAAGATGCTAGGGAAGTAGATTAAGAGGTTTAAGGAGTAGTGATGGGAGGGTAAGATCCCACCCAGCTGAGTTATTGTTGTTGTTGTTTATGCTTACAAATGAAGGCAGATTCCTGAGTTCTGGGTCAGCCTAGGACAGAGTTCATTTATGTCCACGCGTGATCAGAGTGGTAATCTCAGGACAAGGTCCCACCCAGTTAAGTTTACAAAGGAAGGCAGATCTCTGAATTCTTTTGCAGTGTTAAATAAAGAAAATAAAAATGTATTGCTGTCCTTTTCCTAAGAGACAAGGGGCTAAGGTTATGGAAGGCTAATTCATGGGATGGTCAAGAGGGAACCTAGAATAAATAACTGAACTGATATGTAAATTAAAACCTGGGCTTTTCGTCTGCATGAGGTGAGCTAGCAGAAAGAGATAGCAGTTCCTTTTTAGAATTTTTTTTTTCTATCGAGAGCTGAGCCATCTGGAAATCTCTGGAGAGCAAACACAGCTCTTCAAGATTTTTTTTTTCTAATAGGATTTCTAGTTTTAGATGGAAAAAAAATCTATGGAGGGAAAACACAGCTTTTTTAGAAATTTTAATAGCTCTTTTAGAATTTTTTCTCACAGGATTTCTGACCTTGGTCTTTTAGAATGTTTGCTAGCAGCTATCCAGAGAAGGTTGTCTGATGAGCAAACACAGCTCTTTTAGAATTTTTTTTTCTGGATTTCTGATTTTGATCAGAAAACCCAAGAATTACTTTAGAATTTTTTTTTTTTCCGAGACAGGGTTTCTCTGTGTGTAGCCCTGGCTGTCCTGGAACTCACTCTGTAGACCAGGCTAGCCTCGAACTCTCGAACTCAGAGATCCGCCTCCCTCTGCCTCCCAAGTGCTGGGATTAAAGGCGTGCGCCACCACCGCCTGGCTAGAATTTTTCTAACAGGGTTTTTGACTTGGTCAGAAGATTCAAGAATTTATTTTAAACAGTTTTTCTGACTTTAGTCAGAAAACCCATGAGCTATCCAGAGAGCTTTTAAAAGTTTTACTAGCAGAGAGAGAGCCGTCTGGAGCAGAAAGCTAGCTGTCTCAGCCATAGATCTTTTGGAGTAGCAAGAAAAGATGTCTAGAGCAGAGCAGAACACACACATGAGAGAGAGAGGGGGAGAGGGGAGAGAGAGAGAGAGAGAGAGAGAGAGAGAGAGAGAGAGAGAGAGAGAGAGTCTGAAAAGCCATCTCCAGCAGATTACAGAGCCAGGGGTTATCTACAGAGAGCTGTCTAGAGAGCCATATGGAGCAGAACATAGGCCTCCAGCTTGGACCCACGATTGACCTCAAGTCATTTGTTTTCCCTGTTCCCAGACGCCCCTTCTCTCAGAACCCAGACCTAGCCTTGGCACAACACTCAACAGCTTGCTCTCTTCTTCTCTGTCTCTGTCTCTCTTTTTCTGTGTCTGTCTCTGTGTGTCTCTGTCTCTCTTTGTCTCTCTTTCTGTGTTTATGTATGTCTCTGTGTCTGTGTGTCTCTGTCTGTCTCTGTCTGTATCTCTGTCTCTATGTGTGTATATGTGTGTGTCTGTCTCTCTCTGTGTCTGTATCTCTGTGTCTCTGTCTCTCTATATCTTTCTGTCTCTGTCTGTATGAGTATGCATATGTGCACGTGCATGTGTGTGTGCGTGTGTGTGTGTGTGTGTGTGTGTGTGTGCATATGTCTAAGACAATGGATCAGGAACTGAGGCAGGACTCAATGACCTGCAGTACCAAAAAAAGACACCAGAGGGAGGAAGAGACCACGTGCTTCAGAAAAAAAAAAAGGGCAGGAAGACTATTTTCCCTCTTCTTAGTCTTAGACAGGCTCTTTCTAAGTAGCCTAAGAACTCATCTTGTAGTGCCAGGTTGGACTTTGTATTTTCAGTGGTCCTCCTGCCTCAGCCTCCCAAACACTGGGATTATACCCTTCCCTTTAATTAGAATCTGTATGACACAAACCAAGAGTCAACACACAATCAAGACTCGACACACCTCCAGAAAAGACTGAGGAATATAAAAGGCATCATCCTGCATGAGTTGTGGTGAAGGAGTTCCCTTTCTCATCATTCAGGAGTCTGAGGCAGGAGGATCACTAGTTTTAGGTTAACTTGGGTTATACACCTACATAGCATCTCAAAAAAGGAACGAATTAAAACTTGCTGTTTTAATATCATGTTGATGTTTTACTAGAATGCTTTATTGCTTCTTTTGTTTTATTTAAAATGTGGTGCTGTATTTTGACATTAGCATATATCGATAGTATAATGAGCAAACTTGAACGCTATAATTTTTTTTCTGCAGAGAAGAAATCAGGACATAGTATTTATTCCTTTAAAAATAAGTTGGTCTCAGGAGCTCCTAAGAGAACTTGCTACTCTTCCAGAGGATCCAAGATCATTTCTCGGTTCCCAAGTTAGGCAGTTTACACCCACTTGAAACTCAAGTTCCAGGGGATCCAACACCCTCTTAACCTCCTTGGGCACTTGCACACTTTCGGCTGTCAAAGGCTGTCCCAAGAGCCCTGAGTTGTTTTCTTGTGTTTTTAGCTCAGTCTAGATGGACTTCACTCAGATATAGGACTGAGGGGCTCAACCTTAAGAGTCCCATCTGAGGCTTGTGTTTTCACACATTGTCAGTCTAGAGGGAGTCCACCTCTAAAACATGTTTGCACTCCCGAGAGCAGTGGAGCTTCATGCTTCTTACCATGGCAAGACAAGATTGAGTGTGTGGCCAGCCTGCTCCCTGCTTGTTGTCTGGCCCTTCCGTTCCTTTCTAAGGAGATTCCTGCTCCATGTTGAGCTGCAAGAAGTCTGACTCTAACCAATAAAAGGCTGGATAATAGCAGTAATGACCAAAGCAGCAGCTGTCTCCCACAGGCTGTTCTGAGGTCCACTGCCATGTGGACAAAGGGAGGCAAGCCAGGCTTCCCAGAAAGCCCTTGGGAAGCCCTCTTTGCCCTTCCTCTCTTCACCTGGGATGTTACAAGATGGCTGGTGCCTCAGCAGCCATCTTGGAAACATTAGGGTCAGTGTGTGTTCCTGAGGGTTGTGGAGGAGAGGCCTGGATGGGTCCTCATTTCTACTTTACATTTTCTACTCTGGATTTGTCATTATAGAAATAATGATACTCTTAGTTTTCAAACTAAGTATAATCAGGATCTTCTGTTTCTTAGAGCTGAGATTCAAGTGTCTCTTCTGGTAATAGTGAAATTCTATTCTAATTTCTGCATGCTCTTTCTATTCAAAGAGCGGTGTGAGTAGCTTAGCAGGAGGAGACAGTAGAGGTGATATCCAAGGTCAGGTCCTGTGTCTTTCTATCTTAGACACCCTGGCACCAAGCTGATATGCACAATGCTAAGAGGACTTCGAGACCCGGTTGAGGAGCCTAGTCACTGTCTCTTTCATGTCCTTGTTCCTCAGGCTGTAAATGAAGGGGTTCAGCATGGGAGTAACCACAGCAAACATGATGGTGGCTACCGTGTCCTGGGTGGAGAAGGAGTCTGGAGGTCGTATATAGATCCCCAGAACTGTCCCATAGAACAGGATGACCACAGACAAGTGCGAACTACATGTGGAAAATGCCTTGTGCCTGCCCTTGGCAGAGGGTATCTGGAAGACTGCCACAGTGATTCGGACATAAGAGACCACAATGAGAATGCAGGGGGCCACAAAGAAGATCACAGCTCCCAGGAAGACATATTGATTGATGCGTGTGTCTGAACAGGCTAACTTCATGAGCAGGTAAGCATCACAGTAGAAGTGAGAGATCTCTGGAATCGAGGAGCAGAAGGTCAGTCTGCTCATGAGGAGTGTGTGCACCAGAGAGATGAGGCCAGAGCATATCCATACAATGGCTGCCAGCCCCACACAGAGCTGGGGGGTGATGATGGTGTGGTACTGTAGAGGATAGCAAATGGCCACGAATCTGTCCAGGGCCATGGCAGCCAGCAGAAAGGTGTCAGCATTGCCAAAGGAAATTAGAAAGTACATCTGAGTCAGGCAGAGGGCATAAGAGATGGTGCCTGTTCCAGACACGTGGCTAGCCAGGAACCTGGGGATGAGATTGGTGGTGAAGCAGATGTCAACGAAGGAAAGGTTGGCGAGGAAGAAGTACATGGGGGTGTGCAAGCGGGTGTCAGAGCTGATGGCCAGGAAGATGAGTGTGTTCCCAATCACTGTGAGCAGATACATGCATAGGAAAGACCAGAAGAGGATTTGTTGCTGCTGTGGGTCATTAGTGATGCCAAGCAGGAGAAACTCGCTGACCCCAGTCTCATTCTCTCTCTGGTTGGACATCTTCCAGAGGCTCAGGCTCCTGGAGGGCACAGGACAGAGACTGGAACTCACTGTGTGTTCAGAATCAGATCATAGCTCATATGTTGGAGTTTTCTACCAGAACTGTGTGTATGACACTCTCTCTCTCTCTCTCTCTCTCTCTCTCTCTCTCTCTCTCTCTCTCTCTCTCTCTCTCT